TACCTAGCACTGCAGATGTGATTGTGGAGCCATTAAAGCCTTCAGAACAAAACAGGCTGTTACAGGGGTCTTTATGCCACTGACAGAAAACTGTTTTTGCAGACACAAACACATACTCGTTCTCTTGCATTATAGACTAATATCATTAGGTAAACCTAGCCACAGAAATCCATAATCCTCCTGTTAATAAAGTCATATGAAACAAAATCCTGTAATATTCCACGATAAACAAATTGGCAGCAGTGGCTGCTATGCATTATAAACAATCCTATGATAAAGCCAATAGATCTGCTTTGGGTCTACCACAAAATTAATAATAATATACAAGGTAATGAAACAGCCACTTGTAAAAATCAGTGTTGCCCATCAGCTTTTATAAAACATGATTAATTTCTATGCATTAAACCATATTATCAAGGAGGGAAATTATTAAGCATCTTTCAGCTAGCCCTTGTTGATAATAAAAAGAAAAGAGTTCTCATCTCTGAATTTGCTCCACTCCATGACATTTTTAAAAATCCCATTACTTGGATGCAGGAGGAATTTTCAAATTGCTTATAAATCTTTGCATATTACTGCTATTCTTCTCACAGGCTCCAGGGAGTCTTTATAAACAACAGAAATCAAGTCTTTGCTAAAAAAGTAGTTATGCACAATCTCAAATACCCTGCATGATGGATGCCACAATTCACAGGCATTCTGTTTTACATTCACTGCAGTTGACACAAGTGACCTCCTGCTAAGGTAAAATGGTAAGATTGCTAGTCTAGCACTGTCAAGCCCATAAAGGAAGGATGCCAGCAAGTAGTGCTCCATGGTTAGCTCAGAATCATTAAAAAAGAGGTTGAGAAATTTGGAAACAAGAAATATTTTGGCTTCATGACTCCTCTTTTCAAACCTGGAAAGAAGACAAGCACAGAAAGCAGTATGGAGGAAAGTGTGTCTGAAAAATAAATTTAAAAAATAAAAAGAGCACTGCTGGGGCAGTCAGAAATACACATGGATATGAAACCTTTTTCCCTCTGAAACCTAGACAAAACCTGTATATACTGAGCCTGAGCTGAAGAGACAATGAATTAGTCATTGCACCTGCAATTGCCAAAGAAAATGTGCCAAATGCTGGATAAAACAACCTGCTTCTTTTTTTATTTCTCAAATCTGGCTTCCAATAAAATCCTTCCCTCAAGGCACAGTAGATGATTCAGCAATGCTCTGGAGAGTGGCTGGAGAATTGTGATGTTCAGTCACAGCCTCAGAATTTGGAATGGCCAGAGGCTGGCCCAGGACTGAGGCAAGAGGCAGCTAGCCAAGTAAGACTGACTCAAAAAGATGCAGAAAGCAATGTAATTCCACCTGAGACATGAGTTTCCACAACACTTCACACTCTAAGCTATTTTGCAGCAAAGATATTTCAAGATCCTTACAATGATTACTATATAATTTTACCCCCATTGTAGACATGGGAAGACAAGGCCAGAAAATTTAAACACATTTATCAAGAAAGTGTGCCTAGTGGTGAACAGGAGAAGACATGACAGTCTATACCTTCATCTTGCCAAGCTCCATAAGTTTTGCTGCTATCTTCACCAGATTCATGCTTTCATAAAAAACTGTTCCCATTTTCACACTTTTTCTCAGCTATTAGTGCCTTCCACCTTAAAAGTTACAGAACAACAGCAAAACCTAACCCTCATCTCTGAAAATTAATTTATGTTAAATCACTAATTAATCTCATTTAAAAATGGGAGTGTGACTATCATTAGTCTCAAGTATCCTAGGTGTTTGTTTAAAGCCAAAATATATTTTCACTATGAACATTGAAGGTACCTTAGTATGTATTTGAAACTTGTAGGGGAACTCAACATGTCATTCCCTGGGATACTATTGCGGAAGCTTACCAGCTGAGAGGATGAGTCAGACATATTATCACTTATGTGAACATGGATGAAGGGTCTCCATGAGCAATTCTTGGCACCAGGAAGGTGCAGCTTGCTTTTCTTATTTGGGCCCTCATATCTATCTGCTCTCAGGTATTCAGTTCCTTCTTTGGTCCCAGGCTTAAATTATCAGTAAAACGCAATGAAATTGTTTCTGCTTTTTCTTATTGAGACTAATAAAAAATTTCTCTCTGGGTAAGGCAATTAATAGTTCGATTCATATCCTGTGAATTAAAATGATATCACAGAAACTAACCTAATTAACACCTGAGTAGGTCAAAGAATGATCCAGAATTATTTTGCTTATTTCACATTATTTAGAAAAGCAGACATAACTATACTCTTGCCTCCTGATGGCAAGAATAATAACTGAAAAAGTATAATTTTGCCTGTAAAAGAGAATTTTCCCAACTGAGGCACAATCTCAACTGCTTTTAGCTATCCCTATACAACAGAAGGTTGTTTAAAACAAACCGGAAGTAATTTTACTGTCAGGAGAGAATGTGTCATTCTCTGGAAAACAAAACATGAAGTGCATGGAGAACATTATTATAGCTAGTCTGGGTTTTGTAGGTCAGGTCTTTGTATTTCAGAGATTTCTCTGCAGGGATGGCTTTAGAACTTTTCAGTGCTGGCAGGTACATGGTTTTATCTTTCTAATAAAATATCCAGAAATATTCATAGGGCACTATTTCCAAAGTACCTGAACACATCTATTCTAGTTCAAAATTCAAACATTTGGGGTCAAACCTTCCTCCCCATTGAGTATGCTATCTTCATCTTCCAATTTAACTGCTTCAGAGAGATGTTATACTAGCCTTATTTTGGTGGGGAACATAGAGTTGTAATCACATAAATTTTGCAGTTACTACTTCAGTTAACAGTATGACTCCGCTATGAATTTTTTCTCATGCTATGCATTAACATCTAAAATTGCACTGCTTAAACAGTATTAGCATAGGAATAGCAATGCAAAATGTACCACAGAACAGAAAACAACCCAAACACTACAGATATATACAGAGAAACACTTGAGGAAAGTATCTTATTTCATATCCATATGTCAAATAGGTGCCAAATTCTTATGTAAATAAACTGATATAATTTTACAATCTAGCCCTCACTGAAGCTTCATGTCCAAACATTTAGGCTGTAGACCTCTCTGAGGAAAGCCCACAGCAGTGTAGCTACAGTACTCTCAGTTGTTCACAGTGCAGTTAATTTTAATCTACTCTTTCCTTCAGTTGAACTATCATGCTAGCTGAGGTGCTCAGTTTCCATGCTTGAGGCAGAAGCAGGCTGGCAGCTGTGCAGAATTCAATGACTAGCACTCCTATAAGTAAGTACTATTCTCTGCAAAATGAAGTTCTTGGATATTTTTGTCCTTCTGGCTGCTACTTATTCAAACACAAGCCAAGAACTGGAATCTCAACTACTCCATGATTCCTTTCATAACCATATCAGTGAGCCTCTTCACCCATGTGCCATCTCTTTTTATACTGAGCACTGAGGACAAAGCCCCATGAGCGTAAAAAAACCCACCTTTTCCTTCAAATACTGTCTCCAGGATCAAAGGTAACTGTGGATCTGGGGGAGAAGGCTTGGAACGACTGCTCTTTGTATTACCCATATACACATCTAACATTCTGTTCTGCTGAAGGACAAGTTTTTTGAACTGTATGACCCATGGGATCTAAATATGAAAATATGATAATATTGTTTGCATGTATGCAATAAGAATTCTCTTTCTTGCCAGACTATGCTGTACACATTTAATTATATTCATGAAAAGATTTTTGTTAGACAAATATTACAAGTCCTCTTGCCTTATGTGGATCTATAGAACTTAAGCCAAAATATTGATGAAAGTATTGTATAGAGATTAATATAAAACAATGTTTGATAGTATGACTGGTCTCCAATATTTTCTCCTGCATTTTAAAGACCCCAATCTCAGTTTTATTTTATTCTTGATGGCTTCTTATTTAAACGATGTTTAAGCCAAAGCTCAGACTTATATATCTTGAAGACAATAGATTTTGTTCCACCAGATATTATTTTTCTGTATTTAACACACTTAGAAGTAACAGAGTAGAATTACCAAACTGTGGTATTCATATCCTCAATATCATAGCAATGATGACTGTATCATTTCAAAGCAATGAATATCTAGGGAACATCTTGCAGCAGCTGTTTGTGGTACTTACCAGGAAGACCACCTAACAGGAAGAGCACTAGAGAACACAACCACCATTGTCAAAGGTGGCACCTGGCAAACAGAGTTAATTCATTCTCTAGAATACATAATCTGGTACTGTGCAATCATATTTGTTTCAAGTCATTGGTGGTATTTCAAGTCATTTCTGCAAAATTTAGCCTGTTATTCATTATTAGAGAAGCAGCACTCCTGCTCCCAGGGCCTTAGTTTGAAATCTAACATAATAAAATACAACTATATTGGTATCTGAATAATATACGAGTAAGTATAGATACACACATACATACATATATATCCTTCCAGCTTGTTCTGAAACATCTGCATATTTGTTGCATGGAGTGGGACTGACAGATCAATGTAAAACTGTCTGCATTTGTTTTCAATACACACTGCTCTAATACTACTCAGTTATCAAGAAGGAAATCCTCACATATAAAGGAAAATAAATATTACCCTCCAATATTTATCCAATTTCTGCTGTAGGCTTAATAATTGAAAGTATGTCTCCCTTCCCAAATTAAGATGATACTAGGAATAAGAGCCAATAAGATAATTTAATTTGCTTTACTATGTTTCCAAAATACTATATTCATGTATTTATTGAGACACTTCCGTACTTAGCATAATCACAATTTTTCAAGATATCAGAATGGTCACTATCATCTTAACACTTTGCTGACAATTTATATATAAAATCCTTCTACCGATTTTTACTTTCAGAGTAATTTCCACAAATCACCAGGTTATGTAAGAGACAAAGTATGGTTAAAATTTGCTATGAACTGTTGTGTAGGATCTTTAATATGAACCTCCATTTGTGCAAGTCAAGAACATATTGAAAATACCTGGAATCGATAAAAGGTGCCATCATCCTTCAGTGTTAGAACATGGTCTGAGATTGGAAAGAAATAGCCATGTGCTGCCATCAGTGTTCCCAAATGTAGAGCCTCCACTGTTGGAAGAACAAAAGAAAGATGGACTTAAAAAGCTAAATAACTTCTTTTCAGCAAGTTAGTTTTGTTCAAAAGTTCACCTGATCTTGTACAGAGAGCCACTTAGCTCTCAGTCAAAGTCCTGCCATCATGAAAGAGCTGTCTTTTTCTGTGTAATATAATGATGCAAGCAAAAAAACCCCGTACTTTGCTTAACAAATAGCTATTAGATATCCCAGTTGTAGCTGCAGTTCCACTACTTGAATCAGCATTAACAGGCAGCTACCTTAATGTTCACTCACTTGTTTTGAAGCTGAAAGCAGCTATCATTTTTACCCTGATGGTGCAGACTGCTTTTCTTCTTCAGAACAGTTTCTGATTACCTGTTAAAATAGTTGATTCCAATTACATATCTTCCTCAATAGCTTTATCAGAGCTATCCTCTATCAGAGGACAGAGATTTCCTTAAAAGTTTCTCATTACTGGGAAAATAACAAAGAATCACAAGATCACAGAATGGTTGAGGTTGGAAGGGACCTTGGGAGGCAATTTTGTCCAGCCCTCTTACTCAAGGAGAGACACCTTGAGCCACTTGCCCAGGGCCATGTCCTTGTCCTTTTGAATATCTCAAAGGAGTGAGACTCCACAACCTCTCTGGAAGGACCATGTCCTTGTCCTTTTGAATATCTCTAAGGAGTGAGACTCCACAACCTCTCTGGGCAACCTGTGCTAGTGCTCAGTCACCCTCACAGTATAAAGTGTTCCCTGATGTTCAGTGGAAAGCTCCTGTGTTTCATTTTGTGCCCATTGACTCTGGTCCTATCACTGGGCACCAATGAAAAGAGCCTGGGTCTATCTTCTCTACACACTCCCACCAGGTATTTATAGACCTAGATGAGCTTCCAGCTGAGCCTTTGCTTCTCCAGACTGAACAGCATCTTTTCTCACTGCAGAGATGCTCCAACCCCTTAACAATCTTTGTGGCCCTCTGTTAGACTCTCCAGTGTGTACATGTATCCCTTGTAGTGAGGAGTCCAGAACTGGACACACAGAGGACAAATTCGATTCATTTTAATGAACAAAATCATAATATGCATCAGTCAGGTTTATATGTGCTCTTGTATTTTCAGTGGATCACTGTACAATTCCAGACCCTGAACCCTTTAACTCAATACTGTAATTATTTGCCTGACAAGAACACAATGTTGTAAGAAGAAAACAGCATTAGTTAGAGTCATGATTTTGTTGCAGTATTTAAGTCCTACTATCTTTTTATCACATTTCTTTACCAATCTCGTAACAACTCCAGCACATATCCCTAAAATAGCTGTGCACGATTTCTGCCTTAAGATTAAAAATTTCCTGCCAAAACCTGCTAATATCAGTCCACAACCACGGAGGCATTCTAATTTTAAAAGATGAGTTCTGAAAAGAAGCACAAGGGTTTCTAAGCTATAAGACAAAGCCAGCAGTTATGGGAGCTGCGTCAGAGAGGACAACATTGCTGTTGAACAACATCAAGGATTCGAAAACAAGAGCAATAAAATCGCCATAATGAACACCTGAGGAGTAAGGAGAAGGTGGGAAAGGGGAGGAAGAAAAAGGCAAAGAGGAGGAAGACAAAATCAGCAAGATCTGCCTAAAAAATGATGGATCTTTGATTAAAATATGAAATCAGAATGAATCCATAAAGTCAGCTGAATCAGTTAGGATGACTATTTGCACTATGGAAAACTTCACACCAGCACAAGTTACACAGATTCATATACGTCCTCTAAGAAGTGTTCAACTGTTCCTACTGCCTGTGATTTGGCTTTCTGCAACGGCAAGCATAAATACTGCAGCAAAGATTATTCATATTATTCCCCTCGAGAAATTTTTAGACCACATCTGGATTTCTATGTCCAATTGTGAATAGCGTATTCACTCCAGCACAAGAAAGACGTCAACAAACTTCCAGTGACTCCAGTGGAGGTTCACCAAGATCATTGGGGTTGAGGAATGTGCCATATAGCGAGAGGCTGGAGGAGCTGTGCTTGGTCAGAATGAAAAAAAGGGATTTGGGGGTATCTAGCAGTACCTTTCCAATGTCTAAAAGGAGGGAGCCAAGATCTTTCTGGAGTTGCAAGGCAACAAAAGTAAATAAGTAAATACGTAAAAAATAATTTAAAAACCCAGATAAATAAATAAATAAGTAAATAAGACAACGTTCATAAACCAAAACAGTGATAGTTCTGACTTCCATCCAAGCATCAGGACAAGCTGCCCAGAGACACTGTGCAGTTTGCATAGCTGGAGGGTTTTATGACCTGAACTGATAAAGTCCTGGGCAATGTGTTTGAACTTAACACTTGATACTGACTAGAGTCCTGCTGAGGTCCCTCTCAACCTGAATTATATTACAACTCTGTGACTCTAGATGAGTCAAGCAGAGGTGGAACATAGAGCATAAAAGAGGAATGAAGACAATTGGAAAATAAATTATTTGAAAGCTCCTGCCAAAACAGCCTATACTCCTGTCAAGGTTGGTTGCAGTAGGAGTAAGATAATATTTCTCTCACTCACCACTAAGTCATATACACAAGTATATAGTCACTATCAGTTCTCTACGAAAAAATGGAAAGCGCAACCTGGCCTTCTCCAGAAGCCAATTAAGATTATTTAAGATCTGAATTATTCCCAATAGCAGCTTATATCTCTTCTCCAGTGCGCTGGTTTTGGCGGGGTTAACTATCTTCCTGTGGGTGGTATGGGGCTGTGTTGTGGATTTGGGCTGAACACAGGGTTGATAATACAGAGATGTTTTTGTTATTGCTGAGCAGTGCTTGCACAGAACCAAGGTCTTTTCTGATTTTCATACAGCCATGCAATGAAGTTGAGGGTGCATGGGAGGTTGGGAGGTGATACTGCCAGGTGACTCAAACTGAAAAAGGGATATCCCATATTATGTGACATTGTGCTCAGGAGGCAAGGAGGGACATTTGGAGTGATGATGTTTGTCTTCCCAAAAAACTGTTACACATGATGGGGCCCTGCTTTCCTGGGCATAGGTGAACACATTCCTGTTCATGGGAAGCAGTGAATTAGTTCCTTGTTTTGCTTTGGCTGTGTGTGTGACTTTTGCTTTCCCTATTAAACTGTCTTTATCTCAACCCATGGGTTTTCCAGCTTTTAGCCTTCTGATTCTCTGCCCGATCCCACTTGTTGGGGACACCCAACCACGACATCCAGTTATATATGGAGATTAAAGTGATTATACTCTTACCTCAGGCAATTACATTCACCTAGAATGTATCTGTGCTAACTCAATGTTCCTGTATCTCTCTGTCCCTTTAGTCACTAAGACTTCATATGGACATTTAAACTTGTCGCTTTTTATTTCTTCAACAAATAGACAATTAATTTTCCTTTTTATGGCTATAATCCATCAATTCATTCCAGCATTGCACAAATAACAATGCACAAATATACCCTTTTCATATCACCCTGGTATCCACTGTAGCTCACACTCTGAGTGTTACAAAATTGTAACTGGTGAATAATGTTCACAAGATTTTATTCCTGCCTCACACCAGTCTGGTAGAGGGCTAATGCTGCTGGTCTGTGTGCAGCAGCAGTAGAACTACTCCACAGAAAGAAAACTCAGCTCTCAGTAGGTTTCTAATCTCCAAGCAAGAGGTTGGCCAGTGTATGACAGACGGAACAAAGGCAACAATTTGATATACATCTCAATTTGCTAAAATCAGACTGAAAAAACAACAACTGCAAAAATCCAGTGAAGTAGAACAGTTGGATTTAGGAAGCAAAACCATGAGCTTGAAAAGGGAAATGAAGCCAGCAGCAGACTAATCCAACATGCCTAAATTCCTAGAATTTAAATTCAGACAGCTTCTGTATCCCCCAGCTATTCCTCATGTGAAGTTAGAGGATTTTCACTTCAGAAGCACATTTCATCTGGAAAAATGGCAAATGTAGATTAAGAACATCAAAAACTTCTGTGAAGTGCATTAGTTAAGAAGTATAAAAGAAGCCTGGAAAAATTGCTTTTAGACATAAAGGTTGCCAGGTAAAAAGAATCATGTTTATATTTATTCAGAATACAAATTCAAAAAATTGGGGGAACATAGATTAAAAAGCAAAAAAATACTGACTTTTTTAGATGTCAAGTGTGCACAGATGTACACAGAAATGTGATATCTACAGAACTATTGTTCCCCTATATTCAGTCATTGTGTAGAAGAATATGCAACGTAAACCACATTCGCAGTTGCACCCAGATAGGTTCATTGAGAAGGCATAATTCAAATTGCAGTCAACTTCTATACAGTGAATGAAAACTGCAGCCAGAGACATCATATGAAAAATGTGAGGGAGACACAGCTCATGGAGGTGTAACTGGTAGAACAAAGTAGACTTCAGCTTCCTCTGTTCTTGACACCTTGTTTTGAAGACATCAATTATTGATTTGAGGTTCCAGATATACTTCCTAGTAGTTATACTGTGGAAAAGTGGACGAGCATATTCAAAAACCAAATTTACCCAAAACACTGTTTTAATTTTTTTATAGCTAACAAAAGGAAAGTGTTGCAAGTTATAATAACAAATGGAAAAGAAATGCCTCAGGTGAAAGACAGAAATGCATCTTTATGAGCCTGTCACATTTCAACAGGATACAAAATATTTTATATGAAATGAAAATATTGCTTTGGATGTAGGCTTGGTTCTTAATGTGTATGCTATTGCTGGGCTAAAAGCTCAGAAAAAGCTAAAAATTCCATGGTTCACTCTGCAGTTGAACTTTATTTAGCTGAGTGGGTGAAGTGAACAACACATGTACATAGATTGATTAGCAATCATTTTTTTGTGAGAAGTAATACTGCCCAGCCATCTGCTGTGCCATTACAAGAGAGAGATCTTGACAGATTAAATGCCAGTCACTTTTAATATACTTTGTTATACAAGAGAGTTAGATATTTTCAATGATTTGGGACAATGAAAACATGATGAAATCTAAAGAATGAAAAATACACCCTGGTGGCTGAGTTTTCATTTTATTTTCTTTTTAAACATACTGCAGTTTTCTTCTGACTGTAATAACTATTGTACAGATTGATGATAGTCTGTTCA